CCGTATGAAAGTTAATTACTTTAGCAGTTTCGCAATATAAATGTTCCGGAAGATATTAGGATTATTTTGAAGAATTTTCAAAATCAGTTCGATAAGGGTAACTAATGGGTTTTGTTTTCCATAGCACCACTTTTAATAAATTTTGTAAAAGCTTAAAAAAATCTTGAAAAGCTTAAGTCACATAACGTACATTTAGTTACACGATATCCTAAAATACCTATGATCTGTTTCTAAAATACTTATTTTAGAATATTGTGAACTCAAGCAAATAATTAAAGAAAAGCGAAGACAAATGTGGCGTCAGTTATAAAAGATCTGTAGTTTGCAAACCAAACGTCACAGAACATCGAACATACAAAAGGTCACTCGTGTCGGACCCTTTGATGTTTTTGTCGTCGCGTATGTTGTGCCGCACATATCGGCAGCCATTATTCCAAAAAGATGTTTAGGACTTTTCACTTGTTCCAAACCACTTAAATGACACGACGTCATTTCTTATATTGAAATTATTTCCACTTCATTGTGAAAAAATGAGGTCATGTAATTACAGTGGTTGAAGACAAGTGAAAAATACAAAGTATCTTGCTAGAATGATGTCGGCCGTAAGGACGTAGTGCTCACTGGCATGGCCCTTCTATATAATTTTTATTCTGTGAAAACGTGTTTTTGCTGATGACGTCATAACTTATTAACATTATTAACATGGCCACTTGAAAAGTTTGCACATTAGGTCCGTATTCAGCAATAAAATTAACTAAATTTTAGCGAACTGAAAATATTTATTTATACATCAAACTAAATCTAGCATTGTGGATTTTTAGTTACAGAAAAAAAAAGAGGCGATCAAACACTTTGAACAAGGCAGATGGTCAATCCGTTTGTACTCCTGATGATGACCTCGTGTACCTGTGGATTTACCCGAGAAACGTCACGATTATGCACACCATGTTCATGAGAGTGAAAAGCTCAGGTGATGGGAGCATGCTACAAATATATACGCTATCCTTGAATGAGTTTGAACACACTCCCACAGCGTATAATTTTATAAATCTTAAATTCACAAATTGAAAATGACATGAAATGCGGTAGAGTTATTAAACTTTCATAACTTTTCGTCAAAATTATAAGTAGTATACAGAATGCAAGAAGTTCTGATACAAAATTTGTCTGCGGAATCATGTGTTTAACCCTTTAAGTCCCAAGTTTATTTTAGAGAAAAAAAGAAATAGCGAACAATAACAAAATAAAGTTATAATAAAAGCCAACATTTACTAAATTACATACAAATCATATATCAATTTAAAGCTAATATAATGAAGAATTTAATTGTAGTGTTCAAAATAGGATAAAAGTCGTTTCCATGGCGACACAAGGTGTCAATTACCGAAGTGATAATATTTTCAAACTAAAACATTCAATGTAAAGATAAAGTTCTCGGAATATTCTTTAGCTGTAATTGCTTACTACTGCTAACAAAAAAGCCTGTATGATAAGCTTTCAGATGATGTATAACTTTTCTTATTTAGATACTAGAAAGCTCAAATAATTGGAAAATTGCAATTGTACTATGCCAGCAAATATAGCAATAAAATGAGAAATAATTTCAAAACTAGCTATGAGCTTGAACAAACTTATAAGTTGCACTAACTTAGGGTTTTATTGCATAAAATGTGTAATTTTTAATACCATGCTTATATTTACCAACAATTCTGTCGGAAAAAACTACTGCCTGGAGTGGAAAATTTTAGAGCAAGGTGCTACAAATAGTCCCACGTCGCAGTCTTCACAGAAATAGGAGGTCCTTTTCGGTTTTTCTTTTGTGGAACATACTTTGCACCTTCTTTCCTTAGTCTTTCCTTTGCTGTTGGATGGAATTATGCTGGGAAAATGTACATCCCGAAATCTAGCAGGCGATTCAATAGCTGGTCGAACAGCATGTGTCCGAGAAGAAAACTCCCCAATAAGAAGTTTGGAGACTTCTAGGCGGAAATTCTTTGAACTCCTCATGTTATGGTTTGATGACAGCCTTTCCAGGATGTGGCTGTTTACAATGCATCTGTGCAGTAGTTCAAGAAATATTCTCAGCCACCATTTCTTCCTCCTACAGTTGATACCATAATATGATTTCATCTGGTCATTCCCGCCAACTCCACCCATTGTATGATACAATGATATTTGAACATCATCTGTATTGCCATCCTTCTTTCATCGCTTTACTGGGAAGGCTGAAACACACTAGGCAGTCGCTTTAGTCGCGCGTCTAAAACTACCACTTTGCGTGGTTACTAAGCTAGTAACGTAGTCGCGTCAGCTAGTCGCTTTGAAAGTTCAACATGTTGAACTTTTGACTTTGGTCGCTTCAGTCGCTTTACACTGATTGGCCAATAGATACATTTTAACTTCCTAAATGCATATCATATTCCCTGTCATAAGCATCATACGGAATTTATTGATTATACCTTGGAAAACGAAGGCAATATATAGTGAATTCACACTGGAATCTTTCAGTTTTTATATAGCTTATCAAATAGGGACAATAGGAGCTACAAACTGGAACCCTAATGCACAACCTAAGTGCACAGAGTAAGATTATCCACAATATACGCGTAATGGACTATGATCATATTGGCGTGTTTTAACTGGCTTGTTCTCTTTTCTCCACATAGTAGTCTGTACTGAGTAAATATTCATATATTAGTAGCTATAATAAAGGCCAAAATAAAAAGTTTAAGTGATATCTGTGTCTGTAACAAACTAAAATCACCGCCATGTTCAATAGACGCCACGGCAAAAGTCGCGATGGTCGCTGCATGTGTGTTCCTAGGGTTCAAGCGACTGACGCGTGCGCATCAATTCGCTTTGGACGCGCGACTGAAGCGACTGTCTAGTGTGTTTCAGCCTGAATTGTAGCAGTATCAGATGGTATTGCTTGAGATGAAGCCATATTCACAACACGGTTGTCCATCCATGTTACCGCAGTAATGGGTCCTTTGAATCGAAAGACAGATTGCCCTTCCGAAGACAATCCTTCTGGAAGAATAGTAGCAGGACCAACATCTTGGGTAAAAGCACCACGTTGTATTTCTCCCTCGTATTCATCGTTCGATCATTTAGTGTTCGAAAAGTTGTATGCCAGTATTTTGCCAGACTGAGCGACCGTTTCCTCTTCCTCATCAGCTTCAATTAGGTCGACATCATGTACGTTGCTGAGGATTTCTACTTGTTCATCTTGCACAGAAGACAGAACTTCAACATCAGGTTTCGAAAAGGCAGAAAGCTCGCAATCAATATCCGAGCACACTCCATCATAAGAAATACCATATGTTGGGAATAAGTTATGTTAATTGAATGTTCTACTGACAAAGAGACAAATTCTCCCTAGTTGTTATAATTTCGTTAACCAATAGGCTTAAAAGAATTTTGATTGATGTTTTGTTGTAAATGAGTTGAAGAGAGAGTCTGAGTGCGTGAGCAATATATGTATTAGATAAACATTGCCAGGGAATAAAATATCGTTATTAAAAAGCTTGAGTTGTTGCATCAATTCGACATATTCAAAGGGAATATTGCCTGGGCGACGGGCAAGATTCACAAAACGTGGCACCTCCGACGGGATAAGTGAAAATAGTTCGATCAAGAACAAGAATTCGTATTGAAACATGTCGAAGCAAGAAGCTGCGGAGCTAGCACTTGAAGCAAAACTCAAGCATATTACGATCACTTGCGGGAAAACTGAGAGAATTCTTGCGTCAGATAATCACGGGAGAATCGAAAGACATCGTGATGCGTTAAATGAATTAGTAAAAGAAGCAGATACCGCCAAACGTACAGTCGAAGGGTTGAAAATAGCTAGCGGCGAAAAAGTCGAAAGCATTTCCGAGTGGGAGGAATCGATAGAAAATACCATCGGCAAGCTGACAATGCAATAGAAAAATTACGCAAGTGGCTTATGGAAGTGGATGAAAGTAAGAAAGCACATTTAAGAAAGGATCAGTTGAATTTCGAGAAAGAGTTGTATGAAACCAAGCTGCACTACAAGACTCAATTGGAAGAGTCCAAGAGGGACAAACCAGAACAGACAGGAGAAATGAATTCTACAATTAGTGGGAATCTGGAAGCTAAACTACCAAAGCTAGTGATTTCAAAATTTAACGGAAGCTACAAAGATTGGCCAAGATTCTGGAACCAGTTCAGCGAAACTATTGACAAATCAAATATTTCCAATGTAACAAAATTTTCATACTTGAGAGAGTTGCTTGAAAAACATGTCAAGTATTCCATAGAAGCACTACCTTTCACTAGTGAAGGGTATAACCGAGCAAAAAGTATACTTCAGTCTAAGTATGGAAAGGAGTCAGAAGTGATTAAAGCCTACACCAAAGAAATTCTTGACTTACCCAACATACCAGATGCCAATGTACAGAAGGTGCATAAATTCTGGGAAAGACTCACCTATTGCGTACAGTCTTTAGAAGCTATGGGAAAACTGGAGCAGATCAATGGAAGTGTTGCAATGACATTGGACAAATTGTCTGTATAAGAAGCGACTTGGTTCGTACAGATCCAAACTGGGATGAATGGGATTACATTAAACTAATAGAAGCCTTAACATTGTGGACTAGGCGAAACCCTAGAAACCCTATATGTGAAGGTGAAAGGAAGGAAAATAGAAACCGTCTCCGTGAAAGAGTATTCAACACCAAATTGGGGCAGCGAAAATGTGTATATTGCGATGCAAACGATCATAAATCAGTTGACTGCTCAAAGGTGACGGATATCAACGAAAGGAAACAAATATTAGCAAAAAAGCGCCGCTGCTTCAACTGTACCGGAGAAGGGCATAGAGCAGCCGATTGTACAAGTAAAATAACCTGTCAACATTGCGAGAGAAGGCATCATACTTCTTTGTGTGAACAAGCAATGGGGAAGAAAACCCTGATGACCGCAACAAAACCAACGAAGGAGTCTTCCCAGTCTTGACTGTAAAGGTTAATGGGATCATGTGTAGAGCGTTAGTTGATTCTGGGGCTGGCAGCTCGTATGCATCTGCAAAGTTGGTAAGTGTCCTTGGCATAAAACCTGTTGACATAACAACCAAACAAGTGGACATGCTCCTGAGCAGTAGTGTAGAACGTCTGGAGACCTATGCAACTAAAGTGGAGTCCCTCGATGGAGAGTTCGGTATGGAGGTAGATTTAATAAAAGTGGAAAAAAGTGAACTTTTATCAGTAAAAAACCCCCAATACAGCCATATGATTTCCAAATACTCACACTTAAAAGGGGTTGATATCCAAGACGGTGACACGAAGGCTCAGCTTCCAGTACATGTCGTTCTTGGGGGAGGGGAGTATGCCAGAATAAAAACAAAGAATCGTCCCCGAATAGGTAAAGATGGCGAACCTATCGCGGAGTTGACCAAGCTGGGATGGTTCGTGATGTCCCCTGGAAAAGAATTTGATCACAATCATATGTTACTAACACAAACCACTCAAAAAGATTATGAGAAGTTGTGCCGGTTGGATGTTTTAGGACTTGCCGACACCTCAGAACATGATCAAACCTCAGTGTATGGAGAGTTTAAGGAACAATTGGTCAGGAGTTCAGAAGGTTGGTACGAGTCTGGTCTACTGTGGCGAGGTAACCATCCTCCCTTACCATCCTACAAAGAAGGAAGTTTGCGACGCCTCAACAGTCTTGTAAAGAGATTAGACAGGGAAGGAATGGCCAGTGAGTATAACAGGATTATTGAGGAACAAGTCAGCAAAGGGGTAGTTGAGCTTGTAACCGAGGCCCCAGTGGGTATTGAGTTCTACTTACCGCATAAACCCGTGATACGTGAAGCTGCACAAACAACGAAAATCCGTGTAGTTTACGATGCATCCGCTCGAGCGACTCCAAGTGCTCCATCCTTGAATGATTGCCTCTACCCAGGCCCGCCGTTACAGAATAAGCTTTGGAGCGTATTGGTTCATCATCGCTCATTTCCAGTTGCACTTTGTGGAGATATAGAAAAGGCATTTCTCCAGATCCGAATAAAAGAACAAGAAAGAGATGCCTTACGGTTTCACTGGAAGAGTGACAGTCAACCTGAACCCTTGACATCTAGATTCACAAAAGTCGTCTTCGGCCTAACTTGCTCCCCATTTCTGCTTGGGGGAGTGCTAGAGCATCACCTAGAAACTTGGAAAACGAAGATGCCAGATATCGTTGAGGAACTGAAGAAATCTATGTATGTAGACGATCTGCTTAGTGGGGGACAAACAGTAGACGAAGCCAAGGAAAGGAAAAGGAAATCAATCGATGTATTCAACGACGCCAATTTCAATTTGCATAAGTGGAACTCAAATGCCCATGAGCTTGAAGCAGATGAAGAAGAAAAGGATGATGAAGAAGAAACTTTAGCAAAACAACAACTTGGAACAAAATCTGGAGAATCTAAAGTGCTGGGACTGTTATGGAAAAAGAAAAGTGACGAGATTTCCATAGTGATCCCATCAGAGAAATCGGCAAAAACGAAACGAGAAGTACTGAGTAGATTGGCTCAGGTTTATGACCCTTTGGGAATTACATCACCCTTAATTCTAGAGGGAAAGATAATTTATCGTGATATCTGTAAGGAGAAGCTCTTGTGGGATGTACAGCTAAGCCATTCTTTGAAGTATCGATGGGACTGCTGGGAGAACAATCTTCCGTGTGAAGTAAGTGTTCCGCGATCATTAGCTGGGTTCCGAGAACCAATCAAGTCTTTAGAGCTGCATGCATTCGGGGATGCTAGCACACAAGGTGTAGGAGCTGCAGTGTACTCAGTTATTCATCAAGAATCGGGAACTACTCAAATTCTAGTTGCTGGTAAAAGTCGTCTGGCAAAAGAGGACCTAACTGTTCCACGGCTAGAACTTGTGTCAGCCCACATGGCAGCGAACCTTCTTGTGAATGTGCGAAACGCTTTGGATCATTTGTCACGGCCGCAAAGTTTTGCATGGCTAGACAGCACTGTCGCCTTGCATTGGATACTTGGACGGGGCCAGTATAAGCAGTTTGTCTCAAACCGTGTCCGTAAGATACACCAACATCCTGAAATAAAATGGCGATATGTGCCCACATCCGAAAATCCTGCAGATTTGGCCAGCAGAGGTGGGAAATTAAATCAGACGTGGCTCTACGGTCCAGAATGGTTATCTGATATGAGCAGATGGCCAACTAATATAACCACAACTCCATCTACTGCAACAGAAGCAGAAGAGACAGTTTCTCAAAAAACTATCGCAATGACAACAAAACAGTATAGTGGTGATGTTCTGGAACAGTTATTAAGAAAATGCTCACTTAAACGAGCTCTAAGAGTATCGTCATGGCTCTTCAGGTTCATTATTCTTACTGAGATTGAAGAGACTAACATGAAATTTGTCAAACAAGCCCAAAAGCAAGGTCAATTACATTCTAAGTACGAGCTCCAATACAAAGAATTTAGTCTTACGCACAATACAGAAGGGATTTTAGAATGTCGTGGCCGAATTGTGGGTCACTATCCTATCTACCTTCCCACAGATTCCTTGCTAGCTCAAAGAGTAGTGGAAAAGTTGCATCGTGAAACGTTACATGGAGGTGTTGGATTGACAATGGCTGCTGTAAGAGAGACGTATTGGATACCGAAGTTAAGAAGCCTTGTAAAGAAAGTTAGAAAGGAGTGTTTTGGTTGTAAAAGATATCGAGCGACATCAGTTCCCACACCCCCTCCTGGAAAGTTACCCGGACTTGTGGCGAAACAGCGTTCGAGGTGATTGGCGTAGATTTCGCGGGACCAATACGTTACAAAGGGAAGTCAAGCAAGGATTGCAAAGCGTATCTGGCGCTGTTTTCATGTAGTCTAACTCGAGCAGTGTACTTGGACATGATGCCGGACCTATCTGCTTCCACGTTCATACCAAGTTTGAAACGGTTCATTGCTCGGAGGGGAAGACCCAGGAAGATCTATTCAGACAATGGGGCACCTTCATAAAAACTGCGAAGTGGATTGATACTTTACGAAAGGAGGAACGTCTTCAAGGTTATTTGGAGGAATTCGACATTAAATGGCAGTTTAACTTGTCCCGAGCACCATGGTGGGGAGGACAGTTCGAGCGGTTGATAGGAATTGTCAAACAAGCGATGTATAAGACAATTGGAGGCGCAAATCTGAAGTGGGAAGAACTGTGTGAAGTGATACTTGACGTTGAAGTGCAAATCAATAGAAGACCGCTCAGTTATGTTGAAGACGATGTTCAACTGCCGGTGTTGACACCCGAGCTCTTTTTATTCCAGAGATCCAATCATCTGCCAGAACAGAAATTATGGGTCGAAAGTGATCCGGACTTACGTAAGAGGGCAAGATACTTGAAATCTTGCAAACAAGCCTTGTGGAAAAGATGGTCGAAAGAATACCTCACTGCACTGCGAGAACGACATAACATGAGTCATGGGACTAAAAGTTCATTGTAAACGTAGGAGACGTCGTGCTGATCAAATCCAATGAAAGAATAGAGGGAAATGGCCTCTTGGGATCGTTATAGAGACATATCCAGGAAGAGATGGAGTGATACGTGGGGTAATGTTGAAAACGCCAAATGGAAACCTAGAACGACCAGTTCAATTGCTTTACCCAATGGAATTAGCTTGTGATCGACAGAGCCATGAAGAGAGACCTGATCTTAATCCAGACGCTCAACCATTCAAGCCAAAGCGTAAGGCAGCTGAAAATGCAGCGGGGATCATCAAATCGATTGCTGACGAAGAAAACGAAGAGATTTGAAACACTAACTAGATAATTAATCCATTTAGATATACATCTTATCTTCAGATGTATAGGAGTGTGTTGGGAATAAGTTATGTAATTGAATGTCCTACTGACAGAGAGACAAATTCTCCTAGTTGTTTTAATTTCGTTAACCAATAGGCTTAAAAGAATTTTGATTGATGTTTTGTTGTAAATGAGTTGAAGAGAGAGTCTGAGTGAGTGAGCAATATATATTGATAAACATTGCCAGGGAATAAAATATCGTTATTAAAAAGCTTGAGTTGTTGCATCAATTCGACATATTCAAAGGGAATATTGCCTGGGCGACGGGCAAGATTCACAAAACCATAATCTTGCTCTAGGACGTCTACAACTTCGTTGAATGTCACGCTGTTGGGTTTATCCGCCATTGTTTATGTCTTGCCAAAACAAAATTTAAAGGGCAAGATCAAAAACTTCACAAAAAATCGCTCAAAACGAGTTTCGTAGACAAACTATATATCAAAATGCTCGCAAACACCTCCTTAATCGAATGGTGTACTTTAAAGCGCATGTCCGGCTTTTGTTTATGAGTTAGCTGGGCAAAAGAAGCGCTGGCACGTGGTGCCCGATATATCGGACACTGGGACTTAAAGGTTAATTAGCTACAATTATTCATCATCCACAAAAATGTATTAGTTTTAGCAATTAAAAGTGAACATACAACAAATATCTATGCAATTCTTGAATTACTATGAAAAGAATCTTACTGTTCAATGATTTGATATCCTTCACAAAATAGTTGTAAACATTGTGATTTTAGATGTATTCAGGATATGAGCTTTCGCCCATATTTATTACGCCACGTGTAAATTCAAAATGTGATTTAAATGAAGTCATGGCAAAGCAAAGTCACCATGAAAATGTGAAGATGTGAAACAAGAGTTTACGCTGACAACATGTATGGAAATATTTATCGAATTACGTGCAAGGTTCACACACGCAACTTAAACAAAATCACATTTGGCTATTGTTTCTTGGTTTATTTATTAGCTACATTTGGCCGGTATTTATAGTATTTCCCAATATTTGGTGAATATTTTTGGTTTATTTAGTAAATTTCATAAAAGCACAAGTACAAATCAAGAAAATAACAAACAGTTTCTCTCACCTACGTCCGATCCTTTTTGTCTGTACGTTTAGGAATAGGTGGGACTTGAAATTCTTTACCAAACACAGGCTTCTTTCACATTTCACTATGTAACGGAAATGATAAAAAGCAAAGAAAACAGGAACTTGTTATACTCTATCATCAGAAAATTCCACGCGTGTTGGCAACGCCAAGTCCAAAAACCAATAAAATACTTGCTATTACGGTTTCTCGCGCATGCGTCACGAAATAATGAAATGCGTGATTATGTAACTACTGCGTCCACAAATGATTGTACTGCATATGATAATTTCAAAACTAATGTGTGGACTTTCAAAATTTTAGCAATACATGTAGATATACAAATTATTCATCATGTGAACATATCGTGATTCATTATAGTTAAATCATAATATTATGTAAAATTACATATTGTATATTGCCAAATTCCTTTCTAATTATTTACATTAGGTATTGTTATGAATATTTTCAGCTCCATATTAATCCTTATTAATGTCACATTATAGGACAAAACAGTAGGGCCACTTCGCTGTGCAACTGGCTGCTGTATATTTGGTTTACAGGCTGCCGTTTGCCATTTCGTCAATCCTATTGGTCACACAATGCCAATTACTGGCTTCCAATAAGGTAATCAAATGCGTAATAAGATATACGTGGTACGTAAAAATTAAATGGACTGGTCCTACTGTAACTTCTCTATACTGTGATACTGTCGATGAATGCTCGTTCATGCTACTTTCCCTCAAGAAATCTTTTTTTGTTACACGCTCTTTTAATCTGTAGGTTCAAGTGTAGGGTTTGATGGCGTTAAGGTTTTGTGCTAGAGCCTTCTTTGTATATTTCTTATCGGCAAACGTAAAGCAATAAAGTCAGCATGAACGTTTTTCTCTCAGCAGCTGTTCTAATTATCAAACATGTTGTATAGAAACTTATTGTGGTCAAAGTCAATGAAGCTTTGAGTATATTCATAGTTTATATAGACAGTAAATATTCAATTTATTTTATGATATATGCAGCCTGAAAAACTAATATTTAAAGCTGAAATTTCTGTAACGTTGACCACCTTACTTTCTTTATTTTTTGTGCATATATACTTGCTTTTTCCGTTAACTACTGCATCTGCTGTAAGATTCCATTCAATGCATAGATTTCTCAAGGTTCAACGTTCTAGCACAGAAAAACATCTAACAGAAGGCCCACTTGGCTAAAATCGTGGCGTATTTTTTTCACCACGAATGCGTGACTTCCCAGCAAGATACTTTCACAAAATCCCCAGTTAGCACACGACGTTTTCTTAACGTTGGCTGAAGGTTGTATTTAAGTTGCGTTATGATATAACGTTAATACAACGTTCTTACCACGTTGTTTTTCTTATTCAAATTTTAACCACGTTGTGTCAACGTTGGTTAAACGTTAAAATTAACATTCGGTAAAGAAGTTATGTTGTAACGTTGAAACAACGTTGTCTAAGATGAACGTTGGTATAAGATGATTTTTTGGTCGCGTGCCCGTCGTTATTGTCTGACGTTGTTTCAACTTCGGTTAAACGTTAAGATGGACGTTAGATAAAGGTGATTTTTTGGTCGCAGCTTCGTTAATGTCTAACGTGATATGAACGTTGGTTAAACGTTACGATTAACGTCAATTTATGTTATTTCATGTTTACGTAGTGCGTTGCATTTAACATTGTACCAATGTCGAATACAAAAACTACGTCGGTCGTTTTTTCTGAACATTGATATCAATATGCGTTCGCTGTATCAGCGTTAATAAAAAATAAACTTTAATATATAGTTTGATAACGTTATAACGCGGATGCGACCGATACGACACACTTGGCGAAATATGCAATATAAGAAACATAAATCGCTGTAGACGTTAAGAAAATTTGCGGGCTCAGAATACTATTTTGCAAGTGTCTTCTGAGTACTTCATTACAAGTGGCAAGTCGACTTTAGCTATAAAATTTTTCACCCAAGAAAGAATATATAATTGTAGAACACATTCAAGAACGAGCTGATCAACGTTTTCATCGTAAGTACATGCTGTTTTGATTTTATTTGAATAAACACAGAACTTGGGCAAGGAATAATTCAACATGTGTATTCAATGGTTGACGGTTGACCCGTTTCATTTCTTATTCTTAACGCAACTTTAGCAAGAAACGGTGTTTTGGAACAAGTGCTGCTATATTGTAACGTGATCAAAGTAAGGTGAAATTTTATTTGTTTAGATATTGTAGTTATTGTTGAACAAAGATAATGAGGAACAATGAACGTCTTATAATGCCTTTGTCGATATACCGTTACCGTTGGTTAAATAAAGCATACAATTTATTGTATTTTGCCACAAATAATACAAGCAACATCTTATTTAAGTAATTTGGTGTGTTGATAAGCACAAAAAGCTTTAAAATTTAAATGATACAACTCGACAAAGGATGGTTGAAATGTTTATAATGGATTGATGATAAATGCGTAAAACAACGAATTTTTATGTTACTTTGCTGATGTAGCTTTCCAGGCTCTTTAAATGATTTTGACATAGGTAATTTGTTCTCATTATTAAGAAAGGCCAATTTTTTTATCTTTAGTGATAAGGCCAATTATTGATCGCCAAAATTCAGAAAAGCCTGCGGGTTATTGTCTTATTTCTGTGGACATTTAACAAATTCATTTTCATATTTCATACACCTTACTATAGCCTTAATTTTCAATTGTTTCGACAAAAACTTTGTTAATTTTGTTGTTTTTTTATAACATTAAACTCAAACCTTTTTATGATATAAACGTCTGTGTTGATGACTAATATTTTTTAACATGGGGTTAGTGATTATGTGATTTAAAAAATGTTTTTGATTAAGAATCATGAAGCCTTAAACCTTAAAATAGTTGTAGTTTCTAATGCAAATCACAGCAGTTTTTAAACATTGATATAATTTTACAAAGAGGTAATTGAATGTTTATTCATAACAATGCATGGTTGCTTTATAATACTAGTAAGTATCGTTTGTCCAATTATTGCATTCAAGACAATATGTAGTTTACAACCCACTTTTTTATCTCTTAGATTGGTTTATTAACTTCGCCTATTTCTTTAGTAAGCTTGCAATGTCAGTTAAATTATTTTTACTTAGTTGCTTAGAACATTTTCCATTCGCAGTTGTTAGCAGTAAACTATAATGTTATACTTAAAATTTTAGGATTATGTATAAATTAGGTATGATACATGCATGTAAAGTAGTGAATAAGTTACAAATGGTTGAGGAGACATATAAGTTACCATGACCTGTGAATGAGACTCATCATTTTTTGATTAAAACATTTTGCTAAATGTTGTGATCACCAGCACTTAGGAGGAATGGGTTGTAACATTAGGATATGTTTAAATCAATCAACAATAGAGTGACAGTTACATTTTATTATTTATTTAAGTTCATATCATAATGAAATGTAACCGGGGGCAGTACAGAAAAAACTGGATTGCTGCTAATAAAGCTTTAAGATGCAATGCCTAATGGTGATAGCTGTGAAAGAATTTTTTTTATGCAGTGTGGTGTTTGAAATTAAATGAAAATATGATCTTCGCACTTTGCTGGACAATTTAAGCAATTGTCTCATGAACCTGAAAAATTCAGGTGACTAAACGGGATTCGAACCCATGACCTCTGCGGTGCCGATGCAGTGCTCTGACCAACTGAGCTATGAAGTCACACAGTGGTGAGCAGGTCAATATTGTTGGGCTCATGTTTTCTCGTGAAATGAATGTCATATGAAAGAATGTTTTTTATGCAGTGCGGTGTTTGAAATTAAATGAAGATATGATCTGCCAATCTGAAATTTAATTTTTATTTACTTTAGATGTCTACTGATACATATGCAGTTGTAGAATTCCTTGATAAGAAGTCAGTTGAAGTTGTTCCTAGAAGTTGGATTGAAGCATGTGATGGTGTAGGGTTTGCTTTGCATTATTGTTTTCATACAATATTGTTCAATCATTCATTTTTATCTATGTGCTCGTTACTTAAAGTATGTGCTATGTATATCTACTTTGGAGGATTGATATAAGTCACAATCATATGCTATAATATGTAAAGGACAATGGACTCCCATAGAATGTAATATGGCATATCTTAAAGATCTTCCTGAGTTTATAAGTACAGGTCAATGCAACTATTTTTCATTTAATTACACTTTAGCTTTTGTGTTGCTATTGGCCGAGGACAAACGTCTCAGCTATTGTAAAGAAGCTGGAATTGCCATACAAAAATGGTTGGAAAAAACATAAAGTCAGAATATTCACATTTGCAGGTTAATATGATGTCTTGTGATTATAGTATGAATTTTTCATTTAGGTTACATTTATTTTGGATTTCTATTTATTTCCATTTTGATTGTAAATAATCATTGCTATGTCTGGTGTAGGAATTTTTTATTTTCAGAATTTTTTATAAACTTGCTGCCAGCTGTTTCACATTTTCTCCACTGAAGCCTCAAAAGTGCTATAAACGATTTAATCCTCTGTTTTCTAAATTGAAACCTTTCTTTTACTTAGACAACTTTAAAAGTGCCCAAAAGTTTGCTAGAAGAGCCATTGCCACTTCAAACATTGAATCAGATGATGAGTCAATCAACGACAAGCCACGAAAACGTCCTTGTCTCAAAAGGAGTATGGAAGATTTTCCAGATTACAGTGACATAGAAAGTAGGTTATATAGTATTCTAGATATTTCTCTCCAATCACAACAACTTACGTACACAGTAACACAGAAAAGTGTTTTATTTCTACTGTTATAACTACCTACGTGCGTATATGGCTGTAGTCAATGAAGGATCTTGTGTGCGAAACACAATAAGTTCTTTGAATTTGGCTATGTCTTCTTCCTAAAGATGGGAAAAGATAGGATTAAGACTGAATGTATTGCCGTAGCTACTTAAATATTACATCTTTGGCAAGCATTAAATTAACCATATTTTAGTATTTTTAGTACAGCTTGAGTACTCAATAAACATTGTTATGCAATGATCGGGTATTTTTTCTCATCAGACGATGATGACAGTGATGAACCCGTAATTCAACACAGAGCCCTTCAGTTACCTCCTGCTCCACGTTTTGCATCTTTTAGTATGAACAATAAACATTTATTGGAATCTTCTGAAAGTAATATGATAACAGCCGTCAATGAAATCTTATCTACAAATTCTAGAAGTAAGTACTGTAGTTGCAATGCAATAGGCCATTGCTTTATTCAAAGGAGTGCAGTTTTTCACATAATGCTACGTTGCATTTAAATGTAATTATTGATTTTGCTTTTTAGATTTGCCGGTGTGCAGCGAGCTGATCTCCCTTGCAGAAAAAGGTATAAGCGCAATTATAATCATTGTACAAGTAGACAATTTTTTGACAGAAACATGCATGTATAAAATTTCTCTTTTCATCTTAATATAATATTGATCTAGATTTATATGACGGTGAACTAGCACCAGAAATCCTAAACACAAAGGATCATGCAATAACTTCTCCATCTACTAGTAAGACACCATCTCAGCGTAGTGTGAAGTTTTCTGTCATCAGAACTGACTAATCAGCAACTTTCATATAATATGTCGACAAAAATGTTGAAATAATTTTGATTGATTTTTTTTAAATAACTTTAACATTCGTATTGTACATTTACTGTTTTTCTACGTCCATCGTTGCATTATAAGGCTTATGTATGTTCTACAGGTGCTGTAGGCGTTGGTCCTTTAAAATGTTGTTGTAATTAGTTAAAAAAATGTTAGTTATAGTTAAAATTGCAGTTTTGTTCACACCACGATTTTATCAAAATACATTCGTTCAAATCTAATTCTTTGCGTTTGCTATCAAACTACTAAATTAAACTTTCTCGAGGTTTTTTATTTTAGTCACCTTTCTGTTTCTGACTTTTGAAAATTGTAGTGCCTTAATTTAAATGACGTTCGTGCGTGCAATAAAGATATATGTTAAACCCAGTACGTGTCTTCTCTGTAGATACAAGCAACGTCTCTTCACTAGGAATTCTTACAACTGGCACAACAAGAGAAAGACATTCTCAACAAAACAGTGGTGTCTTAGGCAGGCTTTTCTTACAATTCATTATTCCATGTTATGTTGTTACGTTTTCATTTACGTTCATTTTGTGTCGTTTGAAATGGTTTTTTTCACAACTGACTGCAACACGTGATTGCTTTGCAGATGCGCATGACCTTTCATCGCACGAAACGCCTTAGACAAGTTTTATGAACATAACACCTGCAGGAAGACGTTCTCAACCAAACATTAATGGCATCTCTTCTACAGTATATAGGTTTTGAATAGCGTTGCTATTATGTATGCGTATTCAATTAGCAATTTGATGCGAGATTTATTTGAATTTTCTTGTTAGCATGTTGTAAGGTTTTATATTTTTAAGATATTACGTAGGTTATACATTAGTTATTCAATTATTTTCTTATATATCTTGTAGGCTCCCAAAGATCAGTTCTCACCAAACTGGAAACATTAATTGATAAGCAAGAAGAATATTGTGTCAATATTGCGTGCCTGTTAAGCGCTACTAAAGGTGTAGACGAGCACGAAATTTTGGAAGATGTTGTACCTAATCCCTTAGATTCGGTTGAAGAACTTGAGGACCTATCCTCTAGTCTTAATGAAGAAAAGTCCAGGAGAAAGTTGGTAAGTTTTGGAAAGTTAACCCATACGTATTTAGTAATATTTATTGGCACTGCCTATTTTTTATATATGACTCTTTCAAGTGTTACGTAAAAAAAATGTGTCAAAGGAAGGCATAGACCTTCCCCTTTATCGGTTTGGAAACGTGAAAACGATAGTTTCATTTGCAATTACGTAACATAATACTGACTTTTTTTTCTACCATTTGTGTTTGAAGCTTGAAAACATGCACGTTTGTACAAGTCTGAAACGTAATTTTAATGACGATTTTCGTGACGTTAAGGGGTCAGATTATCTGATTAAACTATATGAATCTAGCATCGTGTTTTTCGTGAGAGCATTGTCGTGTTCTGATTGATTTAAATACGTTACGATACTTCAAACGGCTCTTAGGAGTGAGTCGTTTTATTTGTGCTGAAAAATTTTAACGAAGAAGCTGTTCTTTCTAAAGGCCTAATTCCACGGCAGCGAAATGCGAAATAGTTCGCGCGAAATTTTGTTTCTGCGAAATTTTCTCCTGTAATTCGATTTCCACGCATGAGAAAAAGAGCGCCAACTTTTAAATAATATAGCAATATGGAGTTCAGCCGCAAACAATTAATTTGCCTGCTCTTGATATACCGAAGAAGAAAACGACGTTTGAAAAAATACAAAAAGAGATTTTGGGTCAGAAAGCTTTTTAAATGTCGTGCAATACGAGCGGAATTTGTGAACTTAGTACAGGAGTTGAAACTGCACGACCATGAGTTGTTTTTTAAGCAATTCAGGATGGATCCTAGCCAGATGGAAGAGGTTTTAAGCTGGATAGCGCCAAAAATTTATAAACAGGAAACTCGGAGAGATGTTATAAAACCGGAAGAGAGATTATGTGTGACTATGCGCTATTTATCAACGGGTGACTCTTTCTCAACCATATCGATGAGTTATAGAATTGGAGAAACCACAATATCAAAGATTGTCAGCGAAACATCGAATGCTATTTGGGAAGCAATGTTGGAGAAAAACATTTTGAACATGCCTAAAGCACCAGAAGATTGGTTAGCAATTGCCAAATTGTTTGAAAAACGTTGGAATTTTCCTAATTGCTTGGGGTGCATTGATGGAAAACATGTACTCATTCAAGCACCTGCTAGAGTGGTTCACTGTTTTCAATTATAAAAAAACTTTCTCAATTGTGCTGCTAGCAGTTTGTAATGGAAACTACCAATTTACAATGGTCGATATTGGGGAAGCAGGCAGGCAAAGTGATGGTGGTGTATTTTCTAATAGCAATCTTGGCTATTCTATTCTTAAGAATCTCCTGCCAGTGCCTAGACCAAGACAGATAGACAGTTCAAATGTTTTATTTCCATTTGTCTTTCTTGGAGATGATGCATTCCCATTACGTCAGAACTTGATGAAGCCTTATGCAAATCCTAATTTGGACATAAGGAAACTTGTGACCAACTATCGCATATCAAGAGCCAGGCGTATAATTGAAAACTCGTTTGGAATATTGGCTGCAAGATTCCGAATATTTAGACGTCCAATTCATGCAAAAGTTGACACAGTTATTTCAATTACCAAAGCTTGTGTTGCTTTGCATAATTACCTAATGAATGGAAAGACATATGCTAACCGATACTGTCCATTAGGTTTTGTTGACCATGAAATCAATGGACATTTCAAAGGAGGGGACTGGCGAGATATGGTAGTTGATACAACTGGTTTGGGTCAAATATCAAGAGTTGGTTCAAACAACTATGCAAAAGATGCTAAAGAAGTAAGAGACAATTTTTGTAAATATTTTAATTCAAAGGAAGGAGAGGTCCCTTGGCAATGGCATGCATATGATGTTGATGTAAATAATTGCCACAAATCATGATAACTTTATTTAAAAGACATTAATGTCATCCCTAAAATTTGCATGGGAAATGATCATGATTCATGCAAGGAATTCAAATTTTTTTCAAAATAAAAAACATCACAACAAAACTTACAAACAAAACATAAACCTGTCAGACAAAACAAAGTGAATATTCACATTTCCCTCATTCATCATCCATCTCTTCCAGAAGAATCTGTTGAATTTTTATTTTACTTCCAGACTTTTTTTCTTGGGAACTTTCTCAAAACATCCACAATACTTTTACAAAAAGAAATCTTCATCTTCATGTTCTTTCTTATCACTGCCTTGATCTTTTTCTTTTATGGCATTAATTAAGTAGTGATCAATAGGATCCATGTCATCATTTTTTTTCCTTTTACGATGAACTATAGTTGCCTGAGGTTCAACATTAGGAAGCTTTGATTTAAAATACCTTCTGCACAAGAAATAGGTTCTGATGATGTAGACGAGGATGGGGACTGGTGTTGTGAATGTTGTGATTCAACAGACTGGATGGTAACGTTGCTATGGGTGGTGCGATTACTTAGTGTATCCCGAAGGAATGCCAATTGACTAAAATATCTGCAGCGAGGTGGCTTATAAGCACCTGCACCTGACTTGCTCATATCTCTTTCTCTGTCAAGACATTTTTTGAAGCTATCACAGAGATTTTTCCACTTGTTTTTCAGAAAGTTAACTAAAAAAGTTAAATAAAAAAATTTAAGAAATTAAGCTAGTGAACACAATTAACACAAAGATCTTTTATTATTTAGGCAACTGCATTTTTAACCATGCAATTGATGACTAGATGTGGTGCAGTACAATTCACAAAAAATTCAACTGTATCCACCAAGTTGCAAAATCTTGAACATCAGAGTTCCTGAACTGCCTATGACATAATCTGTAAAGGGAGAGCCTTGCATAATTTCATCCCACACCATACTCTAGTAAATATAGAAGTCACTGGTGTAAACAGTAGGGAACTTAAAAAACTTGGAAAAAATAAAACATGCATGAAATATGTAACTTCTGTGTACTCTTTCTTATTACTTATAGCATGTTCAAGGTGCACCTTCACCTGAAGGCTTGGCAGAAAACACACCAAACTAAACCATGTACTCACCATCGCGATTAAGTTTTTTTCCTAAATTTGCCCAGACAATCCTTTTCTTGTCTGACCGTTTGAAATCAGGGGATTCTCTCATCCATAAAATTGGCAAAGACTGAACTTCGCTAATAAGTATTTCACAAAAATCATCATGGAAATCGGGAGTTTCGTTGGCATTTATGCTATGAAGTAATAGAGCTGTGTCTTCCGAAAGACTAGTCATGTTGATTTCCAGAGACGCCATATTAAATTTTGTTTACAAAGCAGTTATTTCATTGGTTTCGCTGGTTTTTTTCGCTTGAGAGTTGAAACAATTTCAACTTTGGCGAAACAGAAATTTTTCGCCGAGAAATGCCTCATGGCAAAGGTGCGCATGCGTTATATCAGTTTCCCGCGAACTATTTCGCATTTCGCTGCAGTGGAATTAGGCCTTAAAAGCTCTCACCATTCCCTTTGGATGGTTTTGTTTTGCAATTCGAGATCAAAATGGTTCTAAATTTTTGTCTAAATTGAACTTTTCCATATAAGTTATCATAAAAGATAAATAGATTAAAAGATAAAGAGAATAAAATCTCTTTACTAGCTGCAGTTTTTGGTAGCACTGTGCGCAAAACCTGTGCAAACATTGTTAGAAGAATTATGACAAAGCTGGGAACAAATAATCTATAGTCCCAATATAGTTTAAAATGCAGAAAGTCAAAGCGACCATTTCAGCGCCTTGCCCTTTGCAAAGTTCTAACAAGTAAGCACAATTAGACGACAATGATTGCTGCAGCAGTACCATGTTTTGTCTCTTTTTTCTCGTTCGTGAATCGGAAAAACAGCCATTTATGTTGCTCCTTGTCATAAGGAATATTGTTGCAAGTTTTAAAAGCTAATACATTAACTGTTTTGCATTTGTCACTATAATGAATTGTTGTTTATCATTCAGTTTACGAAAATGATTTAGTCTTTTATCTATGCAATTTATTTAAAGTATGTCTTTTCTGTTTCGTTTCTCTTGTTAGAAGCCTGCCTCAGAGCTCATAAAGGTGCAGGGAGGCCAACGTTGAAGAGCAAATTGCCGAATTTTTAAAATATACTCCAGGGAAGCAAGGTGGTTCCAGATTTAAGGTAACATGTCATTATCATCATAGATTGCTGGGTAAAGTATATAGATGCGATTTTTTCTTTGTTTGATTTTCTCAACTTAGACAGGGAGACCTCAACTTATTTTCCTCCGTAATCTCATAGTTAGCATATTTGTATTTTCTTGTCTGTGTAAGTTCAGAAAAATAAACAATAACATTGTTGGCATGTGCACTTAAAGAAAGTGAGCATGTGTCTTTCATTGTCCTTCAATTATAAGTAAAGCAAAATAGAATGGACACATATACATAATGCGTACCTTTAAAAACGTTCATTTTAGTGCAGGTATTAGATATGTGCGAGTTTTAAATTTTGTTAACTCAAACTGCATGATTAGATTTATTATATACAATTTGCTTAGCGTGATATTAAACAATTATTGAATAAAATAGTATATGAATTAAGACTTATGAAGGCCAAGGTTTGTTTAATCTACCAACGTTGAGGCAGATAGAACACATTGATGGCTTGATAATTCTTTATATTACGTGGAACCCAATTCAATAATTGTTTTATTATTTATATAAAAAAGCAAATGTTGGTTAAATGTGAAAAAGGTGCCGTAACGATTAAAGTTTTGTTCACTTTTTTTGTTTCTCGTGCGTATGAGATGACGTTGTAGCGCGAGATAATTTCTTATATCCGACGTACGTACGTAGTGGCATTCATATAAGGGGATTTATTCGATTGCTTTTAAGTGAATAAAACTAAAAAATACTTTGATTCTTATGTTTGTATAAATTAAATTAAGAAGATATACATACAGCAGACGATTCAGTTGTCTATTTAAATGGTATCTTTTACAGACAAGTATGGCAATGTTGTTGTAGGTGGTAAGATATAAAAATGATATATAGACTACCATTTTCTAATAATCATATATGTTATTTTCTTGCAGGTCCGAATATCAACTTATTGGAATCGGCCTAGTTAGCATTTTTGTAAATATGTATATTAAAACACCCACAGCAAAATAGATGAATTAAAAGTTGATTATATGAAAATTAAACTTTAGTTTGTATTATTGGAAATTCTGTTTTATGATTTCACAAATAATGCATCATAAATTGTATGTTAAATGAACGTCGGATAAACGTCAGGTAAACGTTGTATGAACATCTGATAGACGTTGTATGAACGTTGTATAAACGTTTAATGAACGTCGGGCAAACGTTGTACGAACGTTGTATGAACGTCTGGTTTTGGTTGAAAGTACATTACATCCCAACGCTCATCCTAACGTCGCCACCACGTTCCTACGAGTTCACAAAAAAATGTTCACTTAACGTTGGTCCTCGACGTTGAGTTAATGTTGGACGAACGTTGGTACAACGTTGAGACAACGTGGTTTTGCTAGCTGGGTCAATATGGAATAGTATTAAACGAGAATGCTATTTTACTAATAATTCACGTTTAAAGCAAAAGTTTGCCCAAATTTTTACAAAGAGTTATCATCTTGCTAAGAAGTTAAGACTCAAAGTTTTTGTTGTGAAAAACGATGTATTTGTACAAAACATCTATATTTTCTATTGCGATCTAGCGGAAATATCTTGCTGGAAGGCGTGTCTGCTTAAAATTTGCTTTAGAAAGGTGATGAACATAAACATCAAAGGTTCCGACACAAGTGGGCCTTCTGTTAAAAATATCTATTCTGTGGTTTTAGTTACGCAACTAATCATACCCTCTCGCTTAGTTTTAAGGTCTGTAGCAGGTTATTCAAACACTATGATGCTATAGCACATACAACATAATATGAATTTTTGGACAAGTATACGGTTGTTTCATCTTGCACAGCACATTCATATAAAATTGGTTGTACAGGTGATAAAATAAAGTTTCTAAAGAAATCCGAATTCAATCGTCAGAATGTCACTTTGAATCTTTTTCTTAAATTTTCGTTTACATCGTAAACACGACAATAGTCTGCAAAATTTTAAGGTAACTACAGAAGGTGAGCGTTTTTTTATTTCATTGTCATTCTTTCGTTGTTATTTGCATTCACTCACCGTCATTACAAAATAATTGATTAAACGTTATGCAATTTTATGTAAAAAAAACAACTCTCCATGCAATTTCGGCGCAAGTTACCTACGCAGTTACTTAATTATTTGACTGACTACGTTTCGTGCAACGCAGTTGAATTTAGGATTTACGTACCTACAGTTAAAAAAGTAAACTACGATAGTTAGTGCTATCCGTGATTAAATATCTGTTGTCAATACGGTCGGTTAACATCGAAATATTTACATCAACATTTGTGCAGTTGAAACAAGGCAATTACGTGTGGAAGCTCCCCCGCGATTTTCCCATTTTTTGTTCGCGCGTGTCGTCCCGCGCAAGCACGCACGCCGTGTTACATTCAATCATTCAATTTATAAAATATGAAATATCTCAAAGCAAAACAAGCTACGCCACTAGAGTGGAGGGAATTGAATAAACATGGAGTAAAGTACTATCAAGGCTCATTCCAAAAAGTACTTACATGGGTATGTAAAATTCAATTTCATTTCCTTTCAGTATTGGGCTGAAGATAGATTTGTCATTCAAAGTTTTCGTTACAGAAAGAGTCAACTACGAAAAATAAACAAAACCTCTTTAATAAATAATCATTTAATTCATACCAGTTCAATCATGACCAATAACACTTTAGATTTTGTGATGAAGTGCGATTTCAAAATATACTTTTCGTCTTTAGTTTAAATGATGTCAACTTTTCAAGGAGGTATTCATACTGTCAAAAAATGCTAAAAATAGAAGACTTTTCTTGAGAAAGTGAGAATTGAGAAAAACAAACTATTGTGTTAAGGTTTCGGAGGTAGTGAGTTAGCATATGAATGATCAAGGGAATGTGTAAATGAACAAAGGAATGAAAAGGAAGAAAGAGAAAAGTGTGTGAGTGAACGAAGGATTGTGTGAAAGAAAGTTGGAGTTTGTGATTGAACACGGGAAACAAGGCGGAAGAGAATGAAGGAGGGAGGGAGGATTCATAACTTCAAGAAAATGAAATAACATGAGTCAATACTGCATTAAAAATGACATGCAAAGATGCAATAATTTCTAATAATGCTTTATTTGATAAAAAACTTTCTAGACGTTTCTGCATTGCTGTTCATGTATGTTATCAAAAAACTTGATTAAGCATTACGTCTAAGTTCGATTTAATGGCTTATATATTTGTCGTGATAAATGTTATAGTTCTCCTTTTATCTACATCACTATGTGCAGCAACAGGCAGCAGTTTTACAACAAAAAATATTTGCTACAGACTCTCCTTCATGCATCGGTATGATATAATGACCCGAAAAACAATGTGATGAATAAAAATGATAAGTTGACCATGCTTCCTATATTAATGTCGATGAAACAAAGTCCGTGAGGGAATGAGGGAGTGTGCAAGTGAACATAAGAGTGTCTAAGTGAACGAAGTGTTCGAGGGAATAAGAGAGTGTATGAGTGAACGAGGGAGTGTGTAAGTGAATGAGAGAGTGTATGAGTGAAGGAAGAGATGGAATGAATGGAGGGAATGTAAATATGGAATGATGGAGGTGAAATGAGTGGGTAAAGGAATGAAGGAATGAATGGAATGAAAGGAAAAATAAAGAATGGATCGGAATGGAATGGAAAAAATGGTGGAATGGAAAGGAATGTAAAAATGAATAATGGAAATAAATGGGAATGGAATGGTAAATGGAATGGAGGAATGGAGGAAGTGGAAGTGAATGAGAGAGTGTAAGGAAAGAAGTGAGGAAGTGAAGTGAGTGAATGAGGGAGTGTAAGTGAATGAAAGGAAGTGAAGTGGTGGAATGAGGAATGAATGAAATGAAGTGAATGGTGAACGAGGGGTGGAATGAGTTAATGGATGTATGAGTGAATGGAATGGAATAAGTGAACGAAAAGGTGAGTGAACGAGGGAAGTCGTGAGGGAAGTCAATAGTTTTTCGACATCAACAAAGCCTTCAGCAACATTGCTGTCAAATGATACGGCCATGATCTTTTTATTGCCTGATGAAAGCGAAACACGATAGTCAAAAATGCAATGGTCATTCATTTGTGTTAATTAAACACACACACAAAGAGGAAAAATTGTGAGTCATATTGCAAAAACTGAAAAACGACACTGTCACACTCACTCACAGTGAGTGACTAAGACACGATTAATATGAAATACTTTCTCACCTTTCTTGCTGGCATGGCCTCTAATGTGTGAACGATAAAGATAAAAATAAATCTTAGGAAGGTTTGATGTGTAGAAATGGCAAAAATTTTCAAAAAATTTTTGAAAGCTTATTATAAATATGGTAGTATACGACACAAATTTTACATGACGCGCGCCATGTTGTTTTCATTTTAACTTATTCACATCCATCACATTCCAAAGAAGAACGTGTACTGGAACCGGGAATTTCTTCAAAAGAGGGAGGGGGTGACAAAGCATAATTAAGGAGAGACATGACACCACAAACACAATTCACGAATCAGAATGCCTTTGTTTGGTGAGTTTGGTTGTTGGTCGACTAACATTGAGTCGACAAAGAAATATTTTGAGAAAATCGGATAGTATGTACCTTAACAACGAAACATTTTAGCAATATTGCATAATGGGGTCACAAGCGAACGACTAGAAGAGACAAAACATGATACTTTCTCCTTGTCTATGAAATGTTCCATGTACTAAATGTACCAATTCGTTGGTTAAACTACAAACAGCAGTCGTAAATAAAATTGATTTGATATTGTCAGATGATTCGAGCTGAACAACCAAATACGTACTGTGATTGAATCATAGTATTGAAAAATATTGAATGCTTTTAATTTTGAGGCTAGAGTGGACTTTGGCCAGTTCACTGAGTTTTTCAGGCATCAGTAGCCATTTTTGCAGTGGCCATGATGACTGTGGACATGAATGATATTTAATGTAGTAGAAACGCAACAAACGACAATTCAGCAACAAATTCAATTTTACTCTACATAGTTTTAAAATAAACGATGGTTGGAATGCAAAGTTAAGTGGTTGGGAATTGGATTAAGCCATATGATTAGAGACTAAGGTTTAAGTGCAAAATTTAATTTTTCCAAATTTACCGTCATCTATCTGTAAATTGCCATTTTTGGTGGCTTTGTATTTCTTGTATTCTTGGACTTCTTATAAATCTTAGCAGGCGTCAGACCAGGTATTAGAATAGGAAATTTTTACAGTGGCACATTTTTTTCCCTATAAATTTTTCTTCATTGAGTTTCAGTACATTAGCTTGTACTGTTGCACATTCAGTGCACCAGTGTCACACCACTAACTTGAGCCTCGTCCACAGCAATAATTTTTTTTTAATTTTTATGTGATTAGAACAAAATATATTTTACAGGACACATATTGTTAAAGATAACAATGTAATAACGTAATAACGTTTTGGCAATGCTTTCCTTTATTTGTAGGGCTAGTAAAACCCGATTACAAGCTTCACGGGGACTAAAGACCTCCATTCAAGTCCCCCATCCCTTTCCTACGCCTATGAATGCAATAATAACCAGTTTATATGATTTTAATTCAAACAAATGTACTCAATGAGTTATAAATAAAATATAATAGAGTTCTTGAATGACGTCTTTATAACGCAAAATTTATGTACGCCATTATTAGCAAATCCTTCGCCTTGTAATGTATCAATCTGAAAAAATATATTTTTGTTTATATTATTTGCACTTTGTCTGATTTTACCAAAAACTTTAAACTGATTTAAGCATGAAGTAAACGGATGAAGTCTTGATTACGATGCTAAAGTACTCTGGTTGAAATACTGAAAAACTCTTTGAATGTGCAACATTATAATCTTGTAGCTCTTTGTCAAGATTAAGCACATGTTGTTTTGGTGGAAAAAGAATTCCAGAAATATAGGTTAAACGCTGTAAATCTCGGGTGATGAGTCTGTCCATTCAGACTAATAAATATTCAACGCAAGTGACAACAAGCAAACTGGCACGTGACCAAGTAGGCGAAAATTGTTTGTACATAAAGTGGAACGTTTGAATTTTAAAAAATGCACTGATAATTTTTGTGAAAGGTCGAAGTTTGGTCTGAAAACAGAACAAAGAAAATTGAATGATTTTAGTACAGACTTCGTTTTATGATAACTAAAACAATACAAATCTTCCTTATATAATTGTATGCAGATGCTGTATGGTCGCACAAAAATTGCCTTTGTCTTCGTTTACAAACGTCCTAGCAATAGAATTTATGTGCGATTAAAAATGTGTTATATTTTATTACGTTATTCAATGGGGTTATTACTTTATTTCAATTTCTGAAGTTTATTGCAAGATATTTCAGAATAAAAAACACTTCGGGAATACTTTTTGCGCACGCAAAATATTTCAACTGTTATAATCGAAAATTTAAGAAACAATTTTACTAACCTATGCCGTATGTCTCTGCCTCATAATACCTTTAAAAAAAACAAGCTTCTTTAATGACAAGGCGTCAAAGGCTGAAAAGTCTCAAGAAGTTTGAATAGTTGATATCAATCATTTACTACTTAAATTTTGTGATCCAATTGTTTCATTAATTTGAAAAAAAATGATTGTGGCGTCCAACCACAATTTTAAAGAAATGTGTAGTCTTGGTAGTTGTTTTAATTCAATTAGATTTTTAAGAGGAAATAGAAAAAAGATGAAAATATAATTAAATGTAGAGAGTAGTGTAGTAGCTAAATTTTTAAACTTGACAGTTTTCATGAGCATGTGTAAGTGTGTATAAGACACTTGCGAGTTGATATGGCATGTGATCATAAGTAATGTGAAGAAAACATGAGACCTGTACTTAATAATTATAAAATTTTATTTACAACTTTATTTATGAACATCATTAATTGTTTGTTAACTTCCGCGGTTTGCAGCAACTATCGTAGTTTTAAAAACTCATAGAAATTTACTATTTTTCAACACTCCAATTACTTGAGGTTTGCAATGAAATACAATGCTACATACACTTCATAATGCTTTAATTCAATTAATCATTTATATAGTATATTGAAATGAGTTTTTTATGATAATGTTTAATGGCAAAAACGTAACACAAAGGTCAATGCATATAATGTTTTTACTGCCTTTTCAGGGATTACCATGTTACCGATTTTCGCTTGCCAATCTTCAGGAAAAATATAACCTGATGTCCCATTGACATAACCAGCATGATTATTTAGTTTTGCCAAAAAATAAGTTTATTTAAACATCGTGCTAACCAGAAGATTTCCAAAAAAAACATATTTTAGAATCAACATTGCAAAAATAAACTTGCATGCTAGCCACGTCTCTGAGGCAAACACGTTCGGTATGATATTGAGTTAATTATGATTGAACACATCTATTTATTTAACATGTACATATATGTCCTGGTAGACATTTACATCTGCAAAAAATCTTTAAAAGAAACTTCAGAAACATTAGCAGGAGTTTTTAAACTTGTTTTCATACTTGTAGAGCACTAATTCTATAAGGAAAGTATGCTGGCCAAAAGATAGGAAATTGATACAAACAAACAAAAACAAAGAACACATTTCCGTCGCCGTAATGTGTCAAATAATTTGATTAAAATGTTCTTTATGTAGAACTATGATTCACTATTGAAAGCATGCTAGCAAAAGACCATAAATTGATATGAAGAAAGGTGTTTTTTACACGCAAAAAATTAGGAGAATTCAATTAATTTTATTAAAATATGAATACTGGCTGTTTACACTGTAAGGTCAAATATATATTCTTAAAGCATATATAAAGTAAATAGCGAATTAATTTATATAATAAATGGTTAAAATTTATATTTAATGTAAGTGTGTTTACAATTCTCACTTTGCAAAGCTTAACTAAGACATTTTTTACCTTTATCACCTATCTTGTTAACAAAAAGAGACAATTTACTAAGTTTACAATTCTCACTTTTCAAAGCTTCACTAAGAGATTTTGCAACTTCATCACCAATATTGTTACATGAAAGATCTAATTCAGTAAGCTTACAATTCTCACTTTTTAAAGCTTCACAAAGAGATTCTGCACCTCCATAACCTATCTTAATATAAAAAAGAGACAATTTAGTAAGCTTACAATTCTCACTTTTCAAAGCTTCACTAAGAGATTTTGCACCTCCATCACCTATCTTGTTATAAGAAAGACCCAATTCAGTAAGTTTACAATTCTCGCTTTTCAAAACTTCACTAAGAGATTTTGCACCTTGATTACCTATACTGTTATGAACAAGATCCAATTCAGTAAGCTTACAATTCTCACTTTTCAAAGCTTCACTAAGAGATTTTGCACCTTCATCACCTATCTTGTTAGAAGAAAGATCCAATTCAGTAAGCTTACAATTCTCACTTTTCAAAGCTTCACTAAGAAATTTTGCACCTCCATCACCTATATTGTTATAAGAAAGAGACAAATTACCAAATTTACAATTCTCACTTTTCAAAGCTTCACTAAGAGATTTTGCACCTTGATTACCTATACTGTTATGAAAAGATCCAATTCAGTAAGTTTACAATTCTCACTTTTCAAAGCTTCACTAAGAGATTTTGCACCTTCATCACCTATACTGTTATTTGAAAGATCCAATTCAGTAAGTTTACAATTCTCACTTTTCAAAGCTTCACTAAGAGATTTTGCACCTCCATCACCTATATTGTTATAAGAAAGAGACAATTTAGTAAGTTTACAATTCTCACTTTTCAAAGCTTCACTAAGAGATTTTGCACCTCCATCACCTATATTGTTATAAGAAAGAGACAATTCAGTAAGTTTACAATTCTCACTTTTTAAAGCTTCACAAACAAATTCTGCACCTCCATAACCTATCTTGTTATCATAAAGAGACAATTTAGTAAGCTTACAATTCTCACTTTTCAAAGCTTCACTAAGAAATTTTGCACCTCCATCACCTATATTGTTATAAGAAAGAGACAATTTACCAAATTTACAATTCTCACTTTTCAAAGCTTCACTAAGAGATTTTGCACCTTGATTACCTATACTGTTATGAACAAGATCCAATTCAGTAAGCTTACAATTCTCACTTTTCAAAGCTTCACTAAGAGATTTTGCACCTTCATCACCTATACTGTTACGAGAAAGATCCAATTCAGTAAGCTTACAATTCTCACTTTTCAAAGCTTCACTAAGAGATTTTGCACCTCCATCACCTATATTGTTATAAGAAAGAGACAATTTACCAAATTTACAATTCCAACTTTTCAAAGCTTCACTAAGAGATTTTGTACCTACATTACCTATATTATTATAAGAAAGAGACAATTCAGTAAGCTTACAATTCTCACTTTTTAAAGCTTCACAAACAAATTCTGCACCTCCATAACCTATCTTGTTATCATAAAGAGACAATTTAGTAAGCTTACAATTCTCACTTTTCAAAGCTTCACTAAGAGATTTTGCACCTCTATCACCTATATTGTTATCAGAAAGAGACAATTTACTAAGTTTACAATTCTCACTTTTTAAAGCTTCACTAAGAGATTTTGCACCTCCATCACCTATATTGTTATCAGAAAGAGACAATTTACTAAGTTTACAATTCTCACTTTTCAAAGCTTCACTAAGAGATTTTGCACCTCCATAACCTATATTGTTATCAGAAAGAGACAATTTACTAAGTTTACAATTCTCACTTTTTAAAGCTTCACTAAGAGATTTTGCACCTTCATGACCAATACTGTTAATATAAAGATACAATTTAGTAAGCTTACAATTCTCACTTTTCAAAGCTTCACTAAGAGATTTTGCACCTCCATCACCTATCTTGTTATAAGAAAGACCCATTTCAGTAAGTTTACAATTCTCACTTTTCAAAGCTTCACTAAGAGATTTTGCACCTTCATCACCTATCTTGTTATAAGAAAGATCCAATTCAGTAAGTTTACAATTCTCACTTTTCAAACCTTCGCTAAGATATTTTGCACCTCCATCACCTATATTGTTAAGAGTAAGAGACAATTTAGTAAGTTTACAATTCTCACTTTTCAAAGCTTCACTAAGAGATTTTGCACCTTCATCATCTATATTGTTATATTCAAGAGATAATTCGGTAAGTTTACAATTCTCACTTTTCAAAGCTTCACTAAGATACTTCGCACCTTCAGCTGTTATAATAGTATGAATAATATCCAATTTGATCAGTTTACAATACTCACTTTTTAAAGCTTTGCTAAAGCATTTAGCCTCTTCATCAGTTACAATAATTTTAAGAAAATAGAGTTCAGGGTATTTACAATTCTCACTTTTTAAAGTTTTGCTAAGACATTCTGTATTTTCATTGGTTAGGTTGTGAAAGTGAACGTCAAGTTTAGTAAGTTTACAATTTTGACTTTTTAAAGCTTCAGTAAAATATTTAGCACTATATTTACTTATATTGTTGCCACAAATCTTCAATTTAGTAAGTTTACAGTTCTCATATTTCGTAGCTTGAATAAGCAAATTAGCACCTTGATCTTTAAGTTTATTAAAACGAATATCCAATTCAGTTAGTTTACAATTTCCACTTTTTAAAGCGTCACTAAGATACTTTGCACCTTCAGCTGCTATACTGTTATCTTCAAGAGACAATTTAGCAAGTTTGCAATTCTCAGTTTTCAAAGCTTCACTAAAATATTTTGCACCCTTATCATGTATCTTGTTACCATTGATAATTAATTTAGTAAGTTTACAATTCTCACAATTTAAAGCTTCACTAAGAGATTTTGCACCTTCTTCACCTATATTGTTATAATCAAGAGACAATTTAGTAAGTTTACAAGTCTCACTTTTTAAAGCTTCACTAAGATACTTAGCACCTCCAGCTGCTAGTTCGTTACGACTAAGAGACAATTCAGTAAGTTTACAATTCTCACTTGTCAGAGCTTCACTAAAATATTTTGCACATTTATCACCCATGTTGTTGCCATTGATAATTAATTTAGTAAATTTAGAATTCTCACTTTTTAAAGCTTTACTAAGATATTTAGCACCTTCTTCACCTATATTGTTTTTTCTAATTTCCAATTCACTAAGTTTACAATTTTCGCTTTTTAAAGCTTCACTAAGATGTTTAGATATATTTTTAATAGAACAGGAGATGATTTTCAAAGAAAATACATTGCATGCTGTTGCATTTGTCAAATATTTTGACAATCTAATGACGCTATGATTATCAGGAAATTGGCATGAAAAAAACGCGAGTTTTCTTAATTGTCGGCATTCAGAGAGAAAATCAAAGAAGGCGTTTGAGTCAAGAGGCATGAAAGAAACGTTGTCAATGGATATTGTTTCAGAAAAATTATTTGACTCGCAAGCTGATCTCATCTCATCGTTGTCTTGTAATTCGTAAAAGCACTTCATTCCAAGAAAACCAAGTGCTTTATTACCCTCAGAGAAAAATAAATGTGACGTCCAATTTTCTAACCTATAATTATAAAAATATCGTATTGTGAAACTTTTAAGAGTTTGGTTTAATTTGTTTAAAAAAATAAAGACCCTTCAGAAAAGCATCTTGACATGAGAAGTTTTTGTAAAACAACTATGGTAACAATAGCTAGCTATAATCTTTTAGTCGCAAATTAAAATAAATCAGATAATGCACACAACGTTTACCAAAGCCAAGTGCAAATTAATATTACATGAAAGTAAAAACTCCTTGCTGCTTCTCAGAGCAACCAGTTCAGTTTCGTTGGCAGCGTGATAGTTGACTGGAAGAGGTTAGGGAGGTCAAAATTTACTTAGGCATGTTTTAATTAGTTAATTCGCCAAAAACTTTCATTAAAAAACAAATTATATCTGTATGTCATGTATGTACTATTAAAATACTATTAAAGTGACCTTTATTAAACGGTCATCTCTATTAAACGGACGCGGTCACCTTTTCCAATGTGCTAAGCTTAATTTTTTGTTATTTTGCACTTGTATTAAACGGTCAGGTTAAGTAGGTACACCCCATAATAAAATATATAATTAAGTATTTTTGTTGGAACATATCACTTATATTGTATACATGTCTTTATGTTGTATTTATCTTCCATAAAATGACTCAAAAGATCCAACAATAGTTTCTGTTTGTGCGGACAAATACACCAGCGATTTAATGTTTCTTACGTCCCTTAAGCCATTGACAAGAAAACCTATCTCCAAGAAAGGGATATAGGCACGGAAAATATATGTTATAAACACCTTCTCTGTTGACACACGCTTGCCAATGATTATTTTTCAGCAGTTTAAGCCGTGACATTTTTATGTATACTATTTTTAATTTCTAGTTAAAACTAAGAAAAAAAGTGCTTTATATAGTGTTGTTAATTGGCATGTTAACGAACAATACCGATTGGTCAACTTTAGTTTGTTAAATGTTACACGTAGCCCGTTTGGTGACTTTCCTAAAGAACTATAATAAACGGTCAACTTGCAATAAGTGGTCAACCTGTATTAAACGGTCACACGAGAAATCCCCATTTGTGACTGCTTAAAACAGGTTCTACTGTATACAGATGTAAAAGAGATTATTTGTCATGTAAAATTATAGCTACTTTTATCTGGATCGTTTTTGCAGGAATCTCTATACACACAAAACTTTGTACGACGTTTGTCTCTCTTTCAAAAGCCTTTTTTTGTTTAAAACTCATTTTCGAAATATGTGTAATTGCATATAGTTGTAATTGTTGTAATTAAATGTGATATTTACCCATAAGTACAAAGATCATTCCCTGTTCTCAACGCTGATATTTAAAAAAAACACGTACATGCGTTAGCCTACCTTAGTGTTCTTAATGGCAATAATTAGTAGACGACTTTTCTTCTTGCACAAAGACGGCCTATTATACTTTGGTGCAAACGCGTAAAAAATCGATTGAAATAAAAAGGGAAAATGAGCTTTGGGTCCGGCTAAATTTTTAAGTGTGCGAAAATTTTGTTCGGTGAATTTTGTTCGAAAATTTTTTACATGCTTCTACCTTGAATATCAACTCAAACTTAACAAAATAACATGAGCCCCAAGGCAGCCAATGAGCATAATGGTGAAAATTCTGAGCCTACAAGCAACTTTTTAGAAATTGCTCAATTCGTCTATTATTTAATCATTATTTGTTTTAAAATACAATTATCCACTACTAACATCATGATTTTGTTGACTAAAAATTCTGATAATTTTTCCTTTTTTAAAGCTTAAAATTCTTAACTCCATATTGCCAGGCTTTTAGCAATATGTGTTTCCTAGGCATGCTGCGTAGACCCAAATTTTAAGAAAAACAGCCAATTAAGTAGGTATCGTTCACCATTTTAACTAAAAATGCTACTAAACAGTAAGTTTTATGCACATACAACGCTTACAAAATATGATTACCACTTGATGTAAAATGGCGGAAATTGCACTTCCGAGACGTTGAAAACAAAATTTTCCAGGTGAGTATGTCCCCAGACCTTCCAAGGTGGTTAAAGCTTTTGGCGTTTCTTGAATTACGTTCCAGAAGTCCTAGTTAAGTCCCAGCTGGGTAGCAAGTAATTTCTATGTGTTGATTAGAATAATTAAAGTTGTTGTCGATTGCTATCGCCGATTAGCGTTCCCATATCAATGGTTTCACGTCAGTGATTGCTTTTTCTGTGATTAACTTACAATTACAACTGTATGGGAACAACGCTTTACACAAAGGAAAATCGGTGTTTTTTTGTGAATATATTTGACATGCTAGGTTTAAAGAAAATGTTATTGACATACTCATTAATATACGAGGTTTGAGTAAAACGTTTGTGGATGAAGATCGTCCAGGTTAGTAGAGTTCTGAGAAGGACTGTTGGTATTGATGTAGACTGACGTTTCGACAACCTTAGCGGTAGTCATCTTAAGAGTCAAGTGTGAAGTAAACGTCGGGATAGCCGTTTTTGTTATCTGGTTCTTACGTCATCGTATTGTGTGTACAGAAATTGTTTTGCAGTGTGTGTTTCAATTGTGTATTGTTAACGTGGATTAGTCTAAAGTTATTAGTTAGTTGCTTCTTTTTGTTTTGTGGATGAGCCGTTTGTAAGGAGCCGGTAGTTATTGTGATCTGTTCAGGGGTTTTTGTTTTAAGTTGGTCTACCAACTTTCTAATGTATGTTGTTGTATATAGTCAGTTCTGTATGTAATACATTTAGATCACAACAATTACCGGCACCTTAGAAATGACTCACTCACAAAACAAACAAACAAGCAACTAACTCATAACTTTAGACTGATCCACAAAATCAGAACACAATTAAAACCCAAACACCCAGACATTTCCTGCATGTGCACAAATTACGACGCTGTAAAAACCAGATAATAAATACGCCTAACCTGACGTTTTAACACGATACTTGAATAGTGTTTCTACAACTAAGTTTTAAATTAAAGTTATTTTGGCCCAGTCTTGTTTGTTCTTCACTTTATCGCTCGTCAGACGTGGTGAAGCTGCCAATTTTTATCGAGTTTTAAATCCATCTTGTATCAAGATCAAGCTAAACTCTCCTGATTTGAATTGAGTTTACCTCCCAAAAATTGGGCAGAATTTGTTCTTATTTATTTTTCAAAGATGAAGGGAAAGTTTAGAACAGAGTTGTGTTAAAATTGAATGCAGTGCCATGCAAAGTTAGTGAGAACTACGGTATATGCTGTATAATATAAAGAAACTATTAAACTACTTGCCTGCTCAATTTGACTGACTGTATAGTGTAGACAACTATAATGGGTTTGGAAAGTTAGATTTATGCAAACAGTTGTAAAGTACTACTTCGCGTTTCTGTAAGTGAAGTATTTATTGTTATAGTAAACAGGTTACTACTTCAAAACCAAGATAAAAGAAGTGTGTAGAACAATGTGCTAAGATTTGGTCCTACCTTGAAATTTTTGTTCAACAATAGCTTATGATTATATCATTAATATGCATGAAAAATTAAACATATTGTTGTCTCATCTCACGAAATCCATACTTGGTATGATTCCAGGTAATCCACAAATTCACATCGGATACATTGGTTACAATGAAGTTGAATGTAGAGGAAGCAAAAATAGATGGCAAAGAAATTCTTTTTGCCTTATGAAGAATTAGTACAAATCAATAAAAGAATTCTTTAAACAAACTGTAAACAAATTTAAATTGCTCATGATCAAGCAACCTAGTCGGAGAAGCAAAGTCTGTCTTCAACATATGACCTTTCCAATTATGTTTAGTTCTTTGTACAAAATACTATTTTTGAGAAACTTCATTTGTAAGTCTTTCATTAATGTTTTTTTATCAAGAAATAAAAGAGACAAATTCAAAGGCGTGATGGAAAATACAAAGATATATCAAGTTGTTTATCATTTAATTCCCAATTGTTAGTTTGTATATATAAATAATTAGTATTGGTAGCTGTAAGTTGTTCAAGCAAACAGAAGAGTGGTAGTGCTTGAAGGGGTTAGCATTTTTGAAAAATTATATCTTGTTTTTGACATATATTACACAATTCCAAAAAACTGTAAGTAATACACAATAATATCTATAGAACTTGATAAATCTCTTCGCCTACACAGTGTTTTTGTGAGAGAAACCAATGAACTTTAGTTTCCAAATTTGTAATTTCAATGGAAAATTAATGTAGTTCTGTTCAGTAATAGACCCAAGATTCTGCCAAGCTGTTTACAAAATACAAATTACCAAGCAACAGTGTCATGGTGTTTTGAATTTTTTTCTTTTTTGTAGCTCTTCTAGTTCAACATACTTTCTTTATGAGTTTTCAGTAGATTTGTCAGGTAATTTTTGCACTAAAACGATATCGGAAATGCACGATCTATGTAATGCACATATCAATGATTCAACTACGTGAATGACTAACCGTAGCACTAACAAGATGAAAGCATACTACACCGACTTCATCAGTGTCCAGGGAGTTACATAGTGTATTAGAGATCTTCTTGTTATAATATTTTCGAAGAGTGTTGGACATAACACCACAGGCTGTTAACAGCATTACACCCCATAGCACCATGTTCATGAACACCTAGAAATAGAAATTTCAAAGAATTTCAGGTTTCTTTACGATAAAATGAAATATAACATTGAGTACGATACTTTTCATTGACAAAAATACTGCGCAATATTATCTTAAGGACAATCATTGATTTAACAAAAACAACATTTCTTTGATATTTTATACCTACCGTCAATGGCCAGTTGATCACAGTGACTGTTTCATGCAATCCAGTTACAAAAACAACGACCATCACCATGACAACAATCCATGAGACGACAATTGCAAACATTCCAAAATATAAGCTACCTTTTCCTCCCCAAGGGTTGATGGCAGAACCTAAGTTGTCTAAAAATGCTCCCAATGTACTTATTGCAATCAACAGTACACCCTACAAATGAATGAAATATTTCGATATATATGCATAAAGCATGGAACTGAAAAATAAAACACGTGTACAGTATACAATTCGGCCGAATGCAGTAATTGCGAGGGTCGACCATAATTTTAAATAAAGTAAACCACTTACAAATTCTGCTATCTTCAAGAAAAAAGGAATCGTTTTGATGTATTTAGTTCCCTTCGGTATCGCCCCCATGTTTGGCTATAGTGCTGATATGCAAAGAAAAGTAAGTTGACGTCATGACTGGTTGAAAAATGACATGTCAAAATTATTAATTAAAACCAAATTTAGGTCAGTTATATTACGCTTGTGTTCTTAAAATTGGATTTTCTGTTTTTCCAGTTGCTGTGTACAAGCGCCTGTATTTTAGAAAATAATTTGAAGTATCAGACATTCAATCCATAATTTATTAATTATAGAAAAAAAAATTTTTTGAGTATGTTAATTCGATAAGTAACATAAAAATGACAGTAAAGAAGTAAGAAAGAACATAGTGAAATTTCCAGCAATCGTATGAAACACTTACCGCAAAAAGTTTCGCAGCTACTTATGAACGATATGCAAAGATAGCGTTGAGTTGAAAAATTAAACACGCAAGCTGTTGTTCAGAAGACTCGCCCCTCTTTACAATAATTAGTACAAGTCTCGTTATATATAATGTTATGGAAAGTTATGCATTATTGATCAATCACCAACTTGCAAGGAAAATGAACTCACATGTCACTGGAAAAACACAAAATATTTACTTTCATATAAGAGCAAGATTGTGCAATTTAGTTTTTGACTGATATATTTGGTTACAATTGTCGTAGATTTATAAAAATGCATGATTTTTCTTTCTTCATCGATCTCTATTTCTCATCACATCGTCGCGAGGAGAAGTAGCCGATATTTTTGCTTCTGTATAATTGAACAACTTCGCTGTGCAACTTCTCTGCGAGATATAACGCATCACTCGATTACAGTCATTACTGAGTGAGGTTACTAAGTTCAGCATTCTTATCGGAAATTACAATTTATGGCTGAGGATAGTTCAACAACAAAATCCATACTGTGTTTCTGCTGTGCAAATTTTATATCCTTTTTTACTCAATTCCATATTTTAAATAAACACAAAATACCTTCAATGTGTTAGTAAAAAATTGCTTCGTTTGTCACTGCTAATCAAATCCAATATTATCTTAACATATCAATCTATAATTTGATAATTGACAGTAAATAATAGCAACAATTTTATTTCAATAATAAACGGTAAAGTATGCATCTGAAATAATGACCTTGAACCACTTCCAGTAAACACGTGAAGAAGCAGGTAGCAAAGGATATAGTTATATCTTGAATGAACACCTGTCCGCATGGACTCCATGCTGTCTGATATTTTTAAATTAACATCTGTATGAAAATTTTGTTTAGGAGATAGAAACGAGAATTAAAATCAGATGTTTTCTGGAAAAATTCACATTTATGCATAAAATATTATTTAAGCACGTGGGTTTGGTGATATAAATTTATTAATAGTGTGATTACACAATTTATATCACAAGTAAAGGAATAATTAATTACGAGTTTCAATTAAACTTGCTCTTGCAATAATTTATTCGTAAATCCACCTGTTATTCTAAAGAGTAGCGTATTTTTAAATGAAGCTAAAAATTACAAGAAATGTATTGTTTCTATAACATATGCAGAAAAAATGAATTTAGTGTTAGGTGTTGGACTGTCTATAAACAAGAGGGTATAATGATGCCGCAAAGAGACAATTAAGATGGCGCATTTTTAGTCCATCATTCCTATAAAGCTTATCAACTTAAAATAAATAATTCCACGAGTACTTTCAGACAATAAGCAAGGATCCCAAACACAAAGTACACAATATCCAACGCTATTCTGCGTTAGCATTGTATGAGCTCGATAAGCCATCAGTCCAGATCAATGTAACGAATCAACATAAGACAAGCTTTCGACTGATTTATCTCTTGTTAACCTTTGACACCCCTTATTCCGTCAAGAAATCCACTTGTCAGTCAAACATGATTCCAGATCAGTTAAAACTCAATTGAACTTGTAACCTGCGAGATTTATACTGGCTTATTGCCCCCTTTATCTATCTTATTATTGTTTCTAGAAAGACAGCCTGGCAATGAGTTAAAACATTTGATATATTCTTCTAACAAAGCCAGTCAGGTGTCTGATACAATTTCCCTCGACCTTGAGACTAAACCAAAGGTAATAATAGAAACCCTTTCTAACCAATTTTTGAATAGATAAATGAGAAAACACACTTCAAATTTCATGAATCTTCGGACACTTTTTTACACGGACTTTTTACCGCAGCTGACACGGGAGTTTTCTCGGCCGTAGCCGGCGAAAACTTCGGTCAGAGTCGGTGTTTTCTCGGCTGAAAAGCCGGAAATAAAAGAACCACTAACCATCACTAACGGTGACCACTAATCACACTCATAACAATCCTCCACTAAACCATGGCACGCACTGCACATACGAGCTTCTGGCAAGTCACCTTCAGGGACGAAACTAGAATGTTATGTGGGGGAACGTGAATATTCATATATTCAGCTCTGCTTGACTGATTTGGTTTGTCTGCGATTTGAGTAGCTGAATGTAGGAATATTCCTCCTCCCCATAACGTTTTAGTTTCACCTTGGTCTCCTTAGCCTACCTTTTTTCATTTAAGCTCACTTGCTTTTACAGCATTTGATAAAAAAGAAGTTCATTAACGTGCTACACAATTCAAATACGTAAAGAGAAAGTGCAGCACCGTATGTGTAACATCAATTTGGCAAATCAGTAATTTCAATAAGATCACTTCATTATTCATTCTTTAAAGCGAAAGTCAACAGCGTGAGTCAAATGTCAAAAGCATTAAGTGAGCATTCATTAATGTTTTGGGAAGTACAATAGATAATAACAAATGACATTAAAACTCTATAAAATGTCAATAACAATACATGTTTTCAATGGCATGATTATAACTGTCAATATAGCAGAACTATTTATCCGTACGGTGTCTGCCATTTGAAGATAGACTTGAGAAAGTTTTTCAAATATAGGAAGTAAAATTTGTCCGTCTTCACTGTGTTTGCGTCATTTTCCCTGGTTTACGAGTGAAGCGGAACAGATCTGGTTTAAATACGCACACAATAGAGACGACCACTTTCACACTTTCACATTCATACACTTAAAAGAAATAAAAAGAAAGAATCTTGAGGGTTAATCATGCAATTGCAAACATATAGTGTTATTGACATTTAATAGAGTCTTAAAGTTATTTGTTTTCATGCTGTTGTACTTTCCAAAACTTTTATTAATGAACGCTAAATTATTTTAACAATCCCTTCGCGTTATGGATCTTTACTATATAAAATGCATAATGAAGTAATCTTATTGAAATTGATCATTTGCCATATTGATTTTACAAAAATGCTATTGAACTTTTTCTATATGTCTTTGAATTGCGGTACGCGTTAATGATTGTCGTTCTTATTCAAATGACATGCAAATGTTTAAACTGACGTATTTAAAATATATCTCTGTGGACTTGATTGAAATTGATATCTATAGCGGAGTGTCAATCTTCTGTTGTAGCTACAGACTGAAATTCAGACCTTCAAACTTGCTTGTAATGTAAGCGATGAATTTTTATTTTTATAGACACTAGAACCGTACATTTTCAGCAATAATTATGACAAGAAGAGAAGATGTTTTTAGCAAATAGAGATCAAACTTCAACATTACCGTTCTAACAATTTGTACTACATTGTATTTGTTTTATCATCTTCCTAAACTTACTTCGTTTGTATTGCTTCTTTTGAAAGTTATTCTCATTTAAATCTAGATATGTCTGCCCAACAAACAAAAAAAGGAAATGTGTAAGTTATTAAAACAGGAGAAACTGACCGACACGAGGTGAAAGGATCTGAAAGAGCACCGAAGCAGGTGATGTGTGTTTTTATTGATGTTTTATGCAATATACATGAATGTCAATGTTGACACTCAGGTAACATTTTTTTCTTACAAATAACGTGCAAATTTTTTGTCATTGAGACGCTATAAAACATGAAAACTAACCCAAACCATGTATGCTACTGTTGAAAGCAACAGGACGCTATCCCCGGATTAAATTTCGCTCAGTATGTTTCACAAAACTTAGAAAATGTATTCACAACACATGCGCTCACTGTTTACTGTAGTAGAAATGTAAACGGGGAATGTTTACCATTGTAAAAATTTTACCTTATTTGGATGTACCATACCCATGTATTTGCATACCGCGTGACGTTGGAATGAAAAGAACAATTAACTAATACAAAAATTAACACATTAAAGTTTATATCATTTCAACGTAAAATATGATTTAAATTAACGGATTTTGTTTCACGAATATTCCCGCCAGTCCGTCAAGTGTAATGATATTTTTTTTTCTATGCAAAAGAAAAGTGCACATTAAACTAAGGTAGCTAGAAGCCCCAAGAGATCCATTTCCAGAAAGAAACAAATTTTGAGATAACAGTTGGAACAAATTGGCAGTGAAACACAAAATTTTACTGAATTTGATCAAATTCCTGTTAAATTTCCATCCACAAAATGTAACACTAACCAAGAATAGTTTAACTACTACTTATAATGATAAGCAAGAATAAAGTAAAGTTGAAAATTAAAGGTGGAAGCACACGATATTTAGTTTAACCGTTGTGAGAAATACACACTCACGTTTCACTTATACCGAAAATGAACTGTACGAAAGCAGATCTCACAGCATAGTTTTAATTGAAGATAGCTCGGTGTGTATTTCTGAAACATTTCACGAGAAAATTAATTAAAGTTTGCTTGTTCGGGAATTTCTCTGATGTTAGCTTGCATTAAAGTTCATAATGCCAGTTTTTGTTTGGTTGACTTTGCAAAGACCATAAAGTATGCAGCTTTTTGTGCGCAATTTACGACAAAATTTTAGTGTCTTGACGCAAACGTTCAAAGTTCAAACTACCCAAAATTAATGTTCACGTTTTATTTGAGTAAAAAAGCATGCTAAAACTACTGTTACATAAAAGTAAAACAATTGAAAATGAAAATGACACCTCATATATAATCAGTGCGTATCTATGATAATAAACGAGCTTTAATTGTCAAAGAAAATATGGCAAAAGTTCAATCCGCTGTCAAAAAGAACCGTTCAAGTACTCAAGTAAACCGCTGGTGAAAAGTACAGTTTGACCACCCTATGTGGAAGTAGCTGCAGGTGTAGAGGCCTTAGCCGAAGATGTGTGACTTTGACCTCTAAGTATCCGGAAGTTAAAGAAAGCATCAACTGCCAAAAGAATGCTTGCAATGAAACAGCAAACCTAGAAAATAGAGTTAAGTGATGTAAAGTTGACAAAGCAAAAACTTTCATGAATGGGCTTATACTTCATATAAGGTTCACAGAACGTGACTAAGAAACAATTTGAAATTGTTAGTGACTAACCGTAGCACCAATAAGATGACCACATGTTGCACCAGGGTTTCCTCTGTCCAGGATATCACAAGGTGAAATAGAAGTGAACGCAATATTCTTAT